TATCTATCTATCTATCTATCTATCTATCTATCTATCTATCTATCTATCTATCTCCATCTATCTCCCCCTCTCCCGCTATCTATCTATCTATCTATCTATCTATCTATCTATCTATCTATCCATCTCTCTCTATCTATTCTATCCATCTCTATCTCTATCTCCATCCATCCATCCCCCCTCTCTCTGTATCTATCTATCTGTCTGTCTATATCTTTCTCTTTCCTTATCTCCATCCATCTCTCTCTCTCTCTCTAAATATATCCTTAAACATGTATATTTTAATTAATAATGGGGGCTTTTTTTGCAAATATTTTATCTAAGCAAGGCAATACATTCTTGCTTACACTATATTCTGAACTAAAACAATGTTAGTAGTTTATCAGTAGATTTTCTCTTCTTGTTTAGGCCCAACCACTTCTGTTCTGGAATATTTGTCGGCTAAAGACAAAGAAAGGATCCAAGAAGCTAAAGAGGCTGTACAACCACAACTGAAAGCTGCCACTGTGCCCCAACAATCTCCCTGTAACAAATTCCAAGCTCCTCCTGTCTCTGACGTGCCGCGGCAATTGAGGCTGGGGTCCCAGTTAGCTACAACTGGCTCGACCGACTTCAAACCATTTGCCAGCAACCCAGAGAAGCAAAAGAGATACGAACATTACTTAGAAAATCTTTCCCGTGGGAAGAAAGGCAAGTAGGGGCTGCGTCCCCAGCAATTTTCTTCTAGCATATTTTCATTTTAATTCGAGTATTCTACGGCAAACAGAATTTAAGCTGGCGGCCCCCCAATCTGAAGAAGCAAAAGAGGTGATGTATAAATTGTCATCATGAAATATACATTTATTCTATGCTTAATATGTCCAGCGTTTTAAAACGTTGTCTTCCGTGGCTAGCACATCAAGTGCAATCTTGTTCGTTATTTCCGTAGAGTTATTAGTTATGATCGATTCAAATTCTGGTTTGTAAAGAATCTTAAAACATTATTGCTTCTTCTGTTAATATTTCTTTCATGTAGAATCTGTTAGATTAATCTAAAAACACCCGGAAATGGTTTGTGTAATCGAACACAAACCAAAAACACCCTGGTTCATGGTTTGTGTAATCGAACATCCAAAACAGGAATTATGGCTTGCTCCAACCCAGTAGTAGGTTTCAAAAATTGTTCGAACCTACTCTGTGGGTGTGGCTGCCTTTATGGGAGTGGCTTGCCGCCCATGTGACCGGATGGGNTCAACCTTGAGCCGGTGAGATTTGAACCGCTCAACTGCAGATAGCAGTCAGCTGAAGTGGCCTGCAGTACTGCACTCTACCCACTGCGCCACCTCAGCTCATGTTGATTGATTCTTTAATCTGCTTATTATTTGAAACATTGTAGATTTTTTTATAACAGAGGGTAGTAGCAATGTTTTGTCGCTACCATTTTGTTTTTATTCTACTCCAAAACAAAACAAGGGAGAATTATAAACTTTCTCTGCCTTAACCTGATCTTTAAACTACCGAGGATTTTTTTTTTCAAATCATATCTGCCATCTGCAGTGTTTTCCTAATAAAGTCTGCTATGGTAATCATTTTACAACGCCTAAGATTAGAATACTTTTGTTAAGATTGGCAAAATTGTAAAAAATCCGTAAAAATGACAGTGGATGTATTTGGGGGCAATGGGAAGCAATGTGATATGAGGTGATTGGATTTCAAGTTTGATAGCTACTAGACTTCTGCAACAAATAGTCCCAATATTTTAAAAATATTGGCAGTTATGCCACTTTATATCAGTTCTTTCCCAACCTTGGCAACCTCAAGATGCGTGGATTTCACCTTGTAGAATTCTTTGCTAGCTGGGGAATTCTGGGAGTTAAAGTCCACACATCTTCAAGCTGCCAAGGTTGAAAAACACTGGTTTATACACTCGAGTTCAGATTTAATTTAGAAGACCGCTTCTATCGCAGGGCAGTAACTATATTGAATTCTTCGGTATAGTGCAGTATTAATGCAGTATCGTCTTTTCAGTTTTAATTATATAGAATGTGAAGGATGTGTTGTTTGTGTTTTTATTTTTATAGTTTATAATGTACACTGAAGATGGCATTTAATTTCATTGTACCAGGTGCAATGACAATAAAGTAAACTAAACTAAATTAAATGTCAGGTCTGCAGCCATCTTTTCTTTTGGATCTTTGGCCTGCCACACTTTCTATTATTCTGCTATGCATTTTCTATTGTGGGGAAATGGGAGGAGGGATTGTAAGTCACATACTATGTAGCCACAACAACATTCTTTCTAGAAAGCCAAGGTCATCCTTTGTCTCTGCACCTCTGCANCAAGAGGAACTGATGTATTACTACTTAATAGAATAGGATATTAGCTATGTAATAGTATACATGTGATTATATGTTATGAAAATGGAAAATAAAAAGTATATTAAAAAAAATAGTGAAGACAGATCTAACTTTATGCTATGCTGCTTCTTTTAGGCCTTTGGGGTTGGCGCTCTGGAAGATGAAGATGAAGATATTTATGCTGTCGAATCCCTTTCCAAATACGACAAGGTTCTGAAAGATGAAGAGCCGGGAGACGGGTTATATGGATGGACAGCCCCCCAGCCTTATAAAAGCAAGCCAGGTATAAAAGCCATTGGTTAAGGCCTTTCAGGAAATGACACCCGATTGGTTTACTTTGAAAGCGCTAATGAATCTATCTATTGTTTTATAGGAAGGAAGGAAGGAAAGAAGTATCACGGGAAAATTTTGGATGGCTTCTGCTTGGCGTCTATATCAGTAACTCCTGCCAAGGTTAGTTAGCTTTTCTTTCTGCCAGTACATCTGCCAATACATGTATGAAGGGTGGTTCAGAGGCTGCTGAGCTTGTTGATCAGAAAGGTTGACAGTTCAGCGGTTCGAATCCCTCGTGCCGTGTAATGGAGCGAGCTCCCGTTATTTGTCCCAGCTTCTGCCAACCTAGCAGTTCGAAAGCATGTAAAAATGCAAGTAGAAAAATGGGGACCACCTTTGGTGGGAAAGTAACAGCGTTCCGTGCGCCTTCGGCATTTAGTCATGCCGGCCACATGATCACAGAGACGTCTTCGGACAGCGCTGGCTTTTTGGCTTTGAAATGGAGATGAGCACCACCCCCTAGCACATATGTTTGAGGAAAACTTTTACCTTTAACTTTACATGTATGAAGATAACACTGAACTCGCCACAAGATCGCCAAGGGTATAAAATTAGCAATAGCAATAGCAGTTAGACTTATATACCGCTTCATAGGGCTTTCAGCCCTCTCTAAGCGGTTTACAGAGTCAGCATATCGCCCCCTCAGTCTGGGTCCTCATTTTTCCCACCTCAGAAGGATGGAAGGCTGAGT